TAGAATAGAATAGAATAGAATAGAATAGAATAGAATAGAATAGAATAGAATTCTTTATTGGCCAAGTGTGGTTGGACACACAAGGAATTTGTCTTGGTGCATATCGTCTCAGTGTACATAAAAAGAAAAGATACAGTTGTCAACAATCATAGGTACAACACTTAATAATAGTCATAGGGTACAATAAGCAATCAAATCATACTAGGAAACAGTCAATATAAATCCTAAGGATACAACCAACAAAATTACAGTCATATAGTCACAAGTGGGAGGAGATGGGTGATAAGGAGTGATGAGAAGGTTAATAGTAATAGTAGTGCAGACTTTGTAAATAGTTGGACAGTGTTGAGGAAATTATTTGTTTAGCAGAGTGATGGTGTTTGGGAAAAAACTGTCCTTGTGTCTAGTTGTTTTGGTGTGCAGTGCTCTGTACCGTCGTTTTGAGGGAAGGAGTTGAAACAGTTTATGTCCGGGATGTGAGAGGTCTGTAAATATTTTCATAGCCCTCTTTTTGGCTTCTGCAGTATACAGGTCCTTGATGGAAGGCAGGTTGGTAGTCATTGTTTTTTCTGCAGTCCTAATTAACCTCTGAAGTGTGTGTCTGTCCTGCTGGGTTGCAGAACCAAACCATTTTATTTTTAGTTTATTTTTATTTTTATAAACAACTCAAGACGACGAATATATTACAGCTTTCTCCTCCTCTTTTCCCCGCAAGAACAACCCTATGGGGTGAATTAGGCTGAGAGAGAGACTGACTGGCCCAAAGTCACCCAGCTGGCTTACATGCCTAAGGCAGGACTAGAATTCAGTCTCCCAATTTCTAATGTGGTGCCTTAACCCACTAAACCAAACTGGCTGAGAAACACTGGATTAGATCTTTATACTATTTAGTCATGAAGTATCCCACCAAGAAGCTACTTAGTCTACACTACAGCATTTAAACTAAATGAAAGATTCTGCTTATTTTAAGAAAGGCAGAGTGAGATGAGCAAAGTGTAAGAATCCTCTTGTCTATAAAAGATTCTTTAATTCTTTACCTGTAACCTGTTATGCTTTCAGTTGTGTATTCTGGTGAGAGTGATTTTTCCAGGAAGCCCCCAAGCAGGGCAAGAGCCTTTTTCAGCTGTTGGTTTCCAAGATCTATTGTTTGCAGATAGACTGCTGCTGTACATGGAAGTCCTTGCTCCAAAACCACATGCTTCATGTTTTGAAGCAAATTAAACAAAACTAGCTAGCACTGTCATTGTAGCAATAGCACTTAGACTTACATGCCGCTTTGGACTGGAATACGGGTCTCCAACCTTGGCAACTTTAAGACTTGTGGACTTCAACTCCCAGAGTTCTTCAGCCAGCTTTGTGGCACAGCGGTGGCAGCCCAGGAGTTGGGACTCAACCAGGGCTTGTGGTAGCGGCGGAGGCAAGGGCGAGAGTGGCGGTGGCCTAGGCCGGCCTGGGAGTTGAGTCTCAACTGCGGTTTGTGGCGGTGAGGGCGGTAGTGGCCCGGGAGTCAGGATTCAACGGGGGCTGGCGGCAGCAGCGACAGGTAGGCGACTGGGGCTTGCAGAGCCTCACTTACCCAGGGAAATCAGATCAGGCAGGGCCGTGGCAGAAGGCAGGCAGTGATGGCGGGCAGGCGGGTGGGTGAAGGCAGACTGCAGGCAGTGATGGGTGGAAGAATGCACGCAGCGATGGCGCGTGGGTGGGGCGGGGATGGGTGGGGCCAGTGATTTGCGCAAAATTGTAATGACCAGTCCGAACCGGTAGAATCCCACCCCTGGGTCTGTAGATCATCATTCGATGTGGAAACCATATCTCTTTTTTTTTCCAGTGGAGTGTGTAGAGAAAACAATGAGAAACCTAAAATTATTGAGAGCACAAGAATGCCAGCCAGTCCGAGCTCTTGGAACTCCTCAAGGTTTCACTGTCCGCACAGACAGAGAAACAGTGTTGATCAGCACCGAGTATGGAATTGTGGAACTGGATCCCATCACACAGGAGGTGAGGGTTCACATGTTATCCCAGATACGGTTCTTGGGTTTGAAGAATTGTCTCACTAGCAGGGGCTGTAGAAGGAAAACTAGATGATATTGCTGCTTTGTTTTAATAGAAATTTCTTTCTTCAAATGGTTCATGAAATTAAGGTTTTAATTTTTGAAAAAAATTGCTATACAGAGAGCCCTATCAAATTTTGGAAGAACTTGGGAGTATCCAAAAATACAAAGAAAATTCCATTCTAATTTTTTTTCTAAACTGTAAACATGTTCTATCCTTAGAGGTTACAATCTGTACTTTTCCGATAAGACTTTTTAAAATGAATATTCCTTTTCTAAATCTAATCACTATATTTTATTGTTAATTTGTGCAAGAATGTTGCATTCAGTTTAAGTGCTGCAGACTAATTAGCTTCTTGGGGGGATACTTCATGATATAATAAATGTTTCTGCCTGTACCCTAATTTGGAGCAGCATCAAGACACAGATAAAAATCGAAGATGTTTGGATTTGTTTGTCAATCTTTCAAAAAGATAACAATTATGATCCAAACAATATCTAGAACAAGAATGAAAGATTTCTCGTGAACCTTTTTTTTTTTTTTGGTCTTTGTTTAAAGGTCATCAACGAAGTTACTTTGACAACTGAGGGTTTTCTGCCAGAAGATGGAAATGGGTGTATTGTGGGCCTGGAAGATTTGCCAGATGTAGAATCAGTCTGCGTAGCTACTGCAATTGGCGATGTTATACTATGCAATCTAAACACTCACCAGGTATGGCAGAATGGCAAATATAGCAGTGTCCAAATAAGATATGAAATAGAATGCAAGAACACAAGGCCTAATACAAAAGTACTTGCTTTAACATAGCTAGTCTTCATATAGTTGTTGCCCCTTTAAATAAATCTATTGGCTTCTTGGACATAAGAATAAAAAATAGCATAAAATACTAATCATTATATGTATATATTTTCTGTGGCACTGTTTGGCCTTTAGCTCCTGAAATTCAATGACCCCCAACATTCCAACTGTTATGGGAAGCTAGGAAAACCTGGTTTTCCCCATCCATTGGGAAAATGATGAGCTCATTTTCTGGGGAATCGGATGTATGTTTACTTGACCTTGGCAATATGTTATCTGTTATGTTGCTTATGGATATAAATTTCTTTGATTCTGTATCATAATGTTGCCAGGTTCTGTGCAGCAGCACTTAAAATCCATCAGAAGATGACCTGTGCCATTCTTTTTAGATTCTTTTTAGATTAAAAAAAATACAGTGTTTTACATTTTCATAATATTTTTAGAATTTGATGTAATTTTTTACTGTGATGTCTCTTTGATACCTTTTAATTTTTTGTACCCTATCCTCCTTTTGTTGGCTTTTGATCGTAATAAAGATTTGATTTGATTCCGTTGCTAAACAGGGCAGTCATTAAGTAAGGACTATCTGTAAAGACAGAGCTAGTACTCCTGGTTGTGCATCTATTCTGTGCTGCTTCACAGGGCTAGTACA